AGTTATCAGACACAAACTTAAGGAAAAACTATGATTACTGGGGCACCTGGATGGCTCAGTCAGTTGAGTGGCTGACTTCACTTCAGGTCATGATCTCATGGTTTGTGGGTCGAGCCCCGCATCGGGCTCTGTGCTGACAAATAGCTCAGAGCCTGTAGCCTGCTTCGGATTCTCTATATCCCTCTCTCTCTGCCTCTCCCCTGCTCATGCTCTGCCTCTCAAAAGAGAATAAATGTAAAAAAGGGTTTTAAAAAAAAACTATGATTACTATGTCAAGAAATTAGGTGACAAAATTATATCTATTAGAAGGAATCAAATGGAAATTCTAGAACTGAAAACAGAGCTTAAATTAAGCACTAATAAATGTTAGATACAGCATAATAGAAGCTTAGTAAACAGGAAGAGAGTTAGTAGAAAATGTCCAGGCTAAAGCACTGTGAAAAAAAAGTAAAAAGAATGGAAAGAATGTAAGAGACACGGAACATGGTGGAAAGATCTGATATATGTTTAATTGGAAAGGATACGAATTTGAAGAGATGTCAAAATTCACAAGAGATATCATGCCATTGATTCAAAAAGCTCTACTAATGTAAAGCAGAATGAATACAAAGGGAATCAGAACTAGGCAAATCAAAATCAAACTGCTGAAAACAAGAGAGAATAAAAGGAAAATCTAACTGTGGCCACAGAAAGAAAAGGCACATCACCTTCAAAGAAGAAGAAAATAAAACTGGCAGCTGACATTTTGACGAATGCAGTGAAAACCAGAACACAAAGAAGTGGTGTTTTTAAATTTTTTAACATTTATTTATTTTTGAGAGACAGAGAGTGAACGGGAGAAGGGAAGAGAGAGAGAGAGAGAGAGAATCCTGAGCAGTTTCCATGCTGTCAGCGCAGAGCCCGACACCAGGCTCAAACTACAAACCATGAGATCCTGACCTGAGCTGAAATCAAGAGTCAGATGCTTAACTGACTGAGCCACCCAGGCCTGGGTGTCCTGAAGAGAGTTCTTAAAGATAGAAAATCACGATCCTTAAAAAAACAGGAGTGCAAAAGGGAGTGAAGAGTACTGGAAAGAGAAAGTATGTGGGTAAATCTGTATGAACACTGTGTTAATTACATTGCATTGAGAGGCATAAAATATACGTAGAGTTAAAATGCACGTGAACAACAGGACACAAGGGAAGCTAGGCCGGAGGGAAACCATTTCACATCACTGAATTCTGTAGGAAGCAGGAAAAGGATTAATGTACAGAGACTAATGAATCAGGGGTAGATGTTATAATCGCTAGGATAACCCCAAAAGTATAATTAAAAACTGCAAGAACAGAAGCTAGCTCAGCTCCTGCCCAGGGCTCGTCCTCTGGACCTCGCTCCTCCGCGTGCCCTCAGGGTGTCCCCGATCAGATCAGGTCTGCGACCTGGGGCCTGCCGAGGGAGGAGTCCCAACTGGGTTCAGAAGGTCCACCTTCTGATGGACCACTGTACAGCGCATGCCGACCTGAGCACCTGTCGCCGCGGTGTGCTGCGGGGTCTCCAAGGCCGTCGTCAGGCTTTAAGGTTCCCTGGGGCTCAGAAAAGCTGCTCTGCTTCTCAGAGTCCTGGGGGTCGTTCTGAGCTGTTTTCTACGAGGTGATGACTTACTGCACTCGAAGCGTGCGGAGGAGAATCGGCAAAGGGAAAGGGCACATGGGGGACGTCCAGGAAAAACCCATCCTGACAGCTCCCTTGCTTTCTCCCAAAGGCGTCACACGGGTCAGTGCCCAATTCTCCCAGGAACGCTGGGTCGCGGAAGCTGCTAAGCGCTGCCGGGAGGGGAGCTTAGTCAAGCCTTGGGGGCCAGGGATTTTACGGGAGGTCGCGCAGCTACCACGTGACTGACCCAGCTACTCGGTCCGCAGCCCCCACGCGTCAAATGAACACAGCATGGCCCAGGGCCTCACACATAAACAGCTGTTCACAAGTCACACTCTTTGTACAAACGACTTGGCCAGACTGGAATGGCGATGCCTGGAATCCAAACAGTCTTCCTAGGAAGAATGTGACCGGGGCTTAGCGGGGGTCTCCGGGGAGCCAGGCAAGGACCAGCCCTCTGAGACAGGAGTGTCCTTGGAACCTATGTGGCTTGAGCAATCCAGGCCTCCTAGGTTTACACTCCGACAATTACTTTTCGCTTGAATAGAAGCCTAATTGCCGAAGTGAAAAACCCTGTTGTCAGTGGCGAGCGTGCTGACCGCGGGGGAAGAGTGGAACCAGGGCTCGGCACAGTTGTGCAAGAAGGCGGCAAAGAGGAAGTCCGCCCGATGGGAAGGGACAGTTAGGGCGCCGGCACGCTAGCTAGTGTGCACGAGAGAACACTGTAAACTGCCACCGCGTACCAGGTGCCTGCTGTGAGCGAAGGCCTGGGTTGGGACACTAAGATGTGCCCTACATCAATCACAACAGCCATGTAGGCAGAGGGTCTTTCAGCTGTGAGCCAAGGGGCCAGAGGGTGGTAAGGACAAGCCTTCCCCCCCACGGACTGATACATCCCAGCAGCGCCGGCACAGGATGCACTGGGAAAAAACGTGGCATGCTGCTAGTTCCACAATGACAAAGTCGCACTAGAAATGCTGGCATTGCACGAGGAACGCATGTGTGTCCTGCGCCGGGCCCCATCCCAAACAAGAAGTCTTCTTTCACTTCTTTTACCCTGTGTGGTCAGGGTACGGGGAGAGTCTGACCAGGGCCAAAGGCCGGGTCGTTCTGCAGCCGGGGGACTGTCCGCTGTCCGTGGGACGCTATCCTGGTACTTTTGCAGCCTCCTGGCACTGATGTCTGAAAAGGGTAGCAGGTCACCCGTCCCATAGAAATGAGCAGGACTAGTCTCTCGAAGCCTGGCCATCACTTCCAAACGACCAGGAACTTACACCTGTGTGTGACACAGGTGTCAACACCCACTCACACGGCTGCGGGCAAACAGGCTCCTCTCCTGGGACTCCTACACTCAAGTGAGGCTTGCACACTCATTCCCCAGAACTGTGGGGTGTAGGCGTGGGCTCGGATTCGTCCAACCCCCTCGGGAACGCCAGTTACACGAGGGGAAAGGGGACAGGGGGTGGTGGGGACAGCAGTCAGTATGTTACACTGAACACCGCGCACACGTCTGACGGTTGCACGATGGTTAGTCCCGCGCCTCTCGCATCAGGGCCGGGCACCTGCTGGCTCGAGCACAGAAGGAGCGGGCGGATCCGAGCCCGGACCTGGCCGTGCCGGGACCCAAGGGTTCTGCTTCGTGACGGGCAGCTGCACGGGCAGCACACACATGGGCCTCTCTCCCCAGACCGCGGGCAGGAAACACAACTTGGCTCAGGGACACGCAGGGCCTTCTCGGCGGGCCGCGCTGCCCCCGGCGGGCACGGCCCCCGACACGCCCTGCTGCTCTGCGCAGTGTTCCCGAAAGGCAAAACCCAGACTCTCCCCGGACGCCCCGGGGCCCAGAAGCTGGAGTAACACGATTTACTTCCGGAGAATCGGGCCTCGGGGTTTCTCCGACGGCGCGGACTGCCGGTCCCCAGTCCCGCTCCCGGGCGCTCTCCGGGGCCACCTCCCCGAGGAGCCTGACCTCCGCTCTCTGACCCCGCGGAGGCCCGGTTCCCAGGGACGGGCCCCGCCCCCAAGATGGCCGCGCCCGTGGGCCGCTGAGACCCGCAGCAGCCGCGCTAGCCGTTCTCGTCCCGAGAGGCGGGAGGGCCGGAGAGCGCGGCCTCGGGGGACGCAGGGGGCGAGGGAGATGGCGCGGGAGAGGGCGCCTCGGGCTCGGAGGCGGCGGGGCCGGGGCCGCTGCGACCGTCCGCCGGCCCCTCCCCGCCCGGACACGCCATCCGCGGCCTCCGGTGCGACTCGTCGCGGACAACGGTCTCACGCTCCAGTCGCGACACCGTGCCCCAGACGAACCCACTCGGGATCGCCGGCCGCGACTCGCGCCATCTTGGCCGCCGGCCGCCGACGCCCCGGAGCAGCTGCTGCGCCTGCGCCGCGCGCCGACCTCGGGCTGCGGGGCGCCGGCAGCGGAAGTGCTCTGCTGACCCGAGGGCGGGGCGAGGCGGCGCGGGTTGTTGTGATCCGCCTGGGCGGCCGGGTTCTGGGAGTCAAGTGCGGGGACGTGGAGCGGGCACAGGCTGCAGGGGAGGCGGGGAGAGGGGTTCGCACCCCTGCGACCTCGGGGCCCTGGGCTGAGTGTGGGCGGCGGGCCGCGGGCGACAGCCGATGATACTGTCATTGAGTCTTCGGGTCAGAGTCGGCGGCCGTTTGCTGAGCGTCTGGTCCGTGCGAGGCGCCCTTGGGGTGCACGGCAATCTTCCCGAGGGCAGTGAGTGGGTTTTACGATGGTCTTCCTTTTATTGCGAGAAAGCGAGAACAGAAAGGCTCGTAACCTGCCCAGAGTCACACAGCCTGGAATCCCAGGGAGGGCCTTCTTTCCTTCCCCTGCCGGCGCCTATGCGGGTCTAGTTAACGTTCCCGAAATGTAGCAAGCACCAGCTCGCTGAACGCCTTCCCCGCTAGAACACAGCGCCCCCGGGTGGAGAACTCGGATTATTTTGTTCACTGACTTAGGTGCAGCACGTGGGACAGGCGCCTAAGGCGCTGGCCTTTTTCACTGAAGGAATCAAAGTGACAGAGCAGGCGATCGGTTCGATTGCACAGCCCGGGCCCTTATGAAATGAGCAGTGCTTAGTCCCTGAATGGCGACAATGAGGCCGCTACGGAGCGTTTGCTCCTAATCAGAAACAAGGCCTGTGTCGGCTTCCAAGAGGTGAAACCTTTGTGTTTTCCTCACCTTCACGGCGTCCGAACCTTGCAGATGGCGTCTCCCAGGCGTCCCTTGTTTGCAGGGCCAGGGCGCCTCAGTGCCACCGCTGCTCGCCCCCTGCGGGCTCCCTTTCAGCCGCTGCCCTGCTTCCCAGTCAGCGGGAGAGCCGGGCCAGGCCTCAGAGGGTGAGTCGCGTGGCTCAGAGGACAGGGGTGCTGCGGCCGTGGTCCCAGCGGAGATGCGTCCTCTCTGGATGCTTCGTCCTGCATCCTTGGGAAGCAGAGAGCTCTTAGGAGAGTCCTAGGAGGAGGGGCTTCAGCCCAGACCCTGAGCCCAGGGCCTGGGGAGGGGGCTCACACGACAGACCCAGAGCCCAGGCCCGAGGGAGGAGGCCCGCAGGACAGACTGACCCCAGGGCAGAGTGTGGCGGCCTATAGGACAGCGGGGGAAGAAGAGCTGGACCGCAGCGGCCTCTGTGCGTCCCCCAGGTGACAGAGGGCATGCCCACGTGGTGACGGAAGCAGTTGGCCCCATTGGGAGAGAGGGAGGAAATGTACAGACGGATGGAGGGACCCTGCCACAGGGAGGGGGCCACTGTCGGGCCCGCGAGGGCGGGACGAGGCTGACGGGGCGCAGGCGGGCAGCGAGGGGCGGCGGGCACCGGGCGGCAGGGTCCGTGGTTTCCGGCTCTTCCGGGACCAGCGGTGCTGCGCTCTTCACCTCCCTCCCAGCCCCCTGCCGCCCCTTCTCCAGCCCTGGTGTGTGTCCTGCAAACCGCACCCAGATGTCCCTGTCCTCCAGATGCTGCTCAGGGCCTGTCACCTCTGGGGCTCCGCGTAGTCACATTTCACTTCCCTTTTATTAGGAATAAAATACCCAGTCGGAATGCAAGCGTGCGAAACCAGAGCACTGAACTCTCCAGAGAGAAGCAGGGTCACCGTGTTAGCCAGGCTCTCGTGCACCGCGGTGTCGCAGGACGTTGAGATCACCGAGCACGTGAAGAGGCCGGACTTGGCTTTGTCATAACCACCCTCAGCTAAGGTACCAGCTGAAACCGGATCCCACCGCATCCTGGTGCCGCCCCCCCTCCCCAGGTCATGTCCAAGGCCCACAGGAGCTTCTCCCTGTCGGAAGGGACTGGGTGAGAGCACCCGGGTATGTGTGCATGTCATCCTCCCCAGGGAGCAAGGGGATTGTCCTTAGGCGGGTGGGGACGGTCGCCTGGCTGAACGCGCTGACCCTCAGGCCCTAATTCTGTCTTCCTAGATCCACGCCCTTTGTCCCGCGCAGCACAGGACGGCCATGTCCCAGGTGAGCTCCTGATTGACCCCTCCTTTGCGTTCAGTGACCTTGAGGCAGCTTTGGGGCCCCCATCTCGTTCCCTCGACGACTCGGTTCCTCCCTTCCATTGCACAGGCTTTCTGTTCTCGCCGTAATCCGCCCGCGTCCTCCAGTCCTTCCCTCCCCAGCACAGGGAAACGAAAACACGAGAAAAGAGAGCAGGAAAGGAGGTTCTGGTCTACGTCTTGCTCTGGGACTCGCTCCCCCTCCGTGTTCGGAGAAGCTCGTTGAAGTTCAGGGTCTCCTGGTCTTTTTCCAGGGCTCCTCACTGTTTGCTTTTTCGTCCTGTCCGACACCCATGCTCGCCGTTGTCTGTGCGCGAGAGCCTAGTTAAAACGCCGTTTCTCCTCCCCCGGTGTCCCCCTTGTCCTCAGACGACCCGACGGTAGCAGTTGGGTGACGGCGCGGGCTAGAAGCGTCTGCGTGCGTTTCGTTCACTGAGAAGAGAAACGCGTGCGGTATTGGGCGGGAGTTTGCACGAACGCCATCCCGGCCCCACTCCCACCCTGCTTCCCCCCTGCGTGTATTCCGGGTGGTGGTCCTGATCCACAGGTAGACGATTTCAGCTCCCGGGCGGGGTGTGGATGCGTCGTTTCCGCGTTTCTCTGGTTGTGGATATTCGGGGGTTTGCTTTCCTTTTCCCATTCTAGGCGGTGCCTGTCGGGCGACTCTGCGTGTGTGAGCGTTAGTGCAGGCGCGTGTGGGGAGTACACCTGGAAGGTGGCCTTGTGGGTCAGGGCTATTCACGCTTGAAACTGGCCGTCCCGAATGCTAGACTCGTTGCCACTTGCACAAAATGTCAAAGACCAGAGCATTTCTATGTTCGGCTTTTCCAGGCTGTTGAAACCTGAAAAGGAATCCAATTCACTTTATGCAGCCGCTTGACCTTTAGTTTGATAACGACGCTACAGAAAAGAAATTACACACCCGATCCACTTGAGACCAAGGATGTCAAGATTCTAAAATGAAATCCGAAAAGAGCTTTCAAAAGTTGAGTTAAGCATTTTGAAAGTAATTCGTACACACGATAAAAATTTTAGTCAAAAACTTTGTGTCACAAAAGGTGTAGACTGATTCTGCGTGTCACCGCGACCCCGTCTCCATCTGCCCTATGTTCTTGCAGAGGTCACGTGTGCACATCTCTCTCCACATAAGAGCCCCGTTTACTTTGGATTGCTTCCTTCTTCACATACTACTGCACTTTCTGGTCTTTTCCATGATGATGATTCCGTTTCCCCGTGTGTGCGATCAACCTCAAACGTCTCCACGTCACCACGCTTGGCGTTTCGGGCCAGGTGACGCTGTGCTGGGGACGGCGGCTGTGTGCGTTGCTGAATAGTTGACAGTGTCACTGCCCTCGACCCGCTTGGTGGCAGTGTCCTCACCCACTCCCCGTTGTGACAATGAAGAGTTCCGACAGACAGGGCCACAGGTTCCCCAGAGGACTGTATCACCCCCAGGGGACACCCCATTCACAGAAATGGCGACGTGATGTTCTACCGGCCGGAAACACCATTCCGTGTTTGCCTTTCTGCCAGGGGTGGACATTGAAGATGCTCTCGTCCTTTGACACGGGACTGATGCGGCGGCTCTTCCCCGGGTACGTTGCACAGCCATGCGAGGGTGTCCGGTGTGCAGGATGGCTTCCTAGAGGTGGGCGTTCTGGGGCAGGGCCGAGTGCACCTGGAATTCCCACCGCTCAGGGCCTCGGAGCCACGCGTCCCCCTGGGCTCGGCGGTGTGGTCACGGTCCCTAAGCCCTGAGCTGCCTCGGGGGAGGGGTGACGAGGGGGCGACGGAGACCTCCTGCCGGGGACACGTGCCTGTCCCTGCCCTTCTCTTGGCCTTTCCTGCCTGGTCTCCCTCTGCAGAGCTGAGGACACTGCGGTCACGTGCGGGCTCCTGGGGCCTGTGGGTGCCAGGTGTCTCCCAGACTTTACGACCGGCCACGGTGGGTGGGACAGGACGGGGTCCAGAGTACACAAGGGGCGGGGGGCCGGGGGGTGAATATCACCGTCAGGTAGGAATCTGGACACTTAGAAAGCTGAGTTGTGTCCGGGAGACAAGACCAAGCAGACTTTCCCTGTTTACCTCCGTCAGCTGACCCGGTCAGAGTCCCACCCTCCTGCTTCCGGTCCTCGGTGTCATGAAGGGTCAGCCCGGCTGAGAGTCCGGTCCCCGAGGGAAGAGCCCAGCGCAGCCGCCCTCGGTGCAGGGAGGAGCCCGGTCCTTCCCCACGGTGTCTGTCTGGCCTGTGACTGCAGTGTGTCCCCCTTACCGTGACACAGAACACAGTGCCCCTGGCAGTGGCAGTCAGCGCACCACACAGCTGTGTGTCTGCCACACCCGCGGGGGTCCTGCCCTTCCCTCTAACACTGTCCGCCTGGAGACGGTGCCGGGTGCCGCAGACGAAGGGTCGGTCCCACAGGACTGCCACCTCTCGTACACCTCAGCGGAATACAGCCCCGAGTCGGAGGCTGTCCCCTGTGCGTTTGACCAACCGGCTGTAGATCAGAGGTACCGGTGATCCTGTCCTTGGATCCGATTATCTGCTAGGACAGCTCGGGGGACTCTGGAAACCACTTAGTTACACCGACCAGTTTATTACGGGAAAGGATGCAGATGAGCAGACAGCAGGGCGCGGTCTTGGGGTCCCGGGCACAAAGCCACTGTCCCTGTGGTGTGGCAGGCATCGTTGTCCCGGGATGGCCTGCCGGGAAGCTCCCTCTCCCTCCCCCCCCACCCCCCCACCCCGTGCCGCTAGGGATCATGCAGGCCTCCTAAGACACCTGCCGTCACATGCTAACTGCGTGTGCAGCCCGCCCACCTGCACTGGGAGTCGCCTCATCAGAGCAAGAGGTGCTCCCTGTGTTCTGCTCACCTGGGGACTTCCAGCGGCTGCAGGAGCCCACACCGGGGACCGGGAGGCGAGGCCGGGAGACGGTTTCTGTTACTTCACAGTCCTGACCCCGTAGCTGTGTGGGGAGCGGGTCTCCTGGCTCAGGGTCCCCTGCGGAGCCTTCTCTGCCGGCCCCAAGCAGACCGGCCTCCTTTCTCTTCTCTGTTCCCTCCGCTCCCTCCCCCGCTGCCCTCAGAGGAAAGGAGCCCCCCCCCCTCACCGCCTCCCCTCCCCTTCATCTGTGCGTTTGTAGGTGTGGTTCTGCGTCTACTAGGCTCCGCTCCTGCGCTCAGAAAGTAATTTTATTAATTCTTATGTCTTCTGGACTTCCCTACTCCTCTGTATTCATTACATGAGTTCAGAGTTTGCAAGTTTGCATTTCTAGGGTACTGTATATTAACAGCTCATCTGTTTCTTTATAAAGGTCGAAATAAGTTTAGTTTCATAAACGCTCTGCATACTGGACTGTCCCAAGTAGCATAGGGAACAGCAAAGAAGATGTGTGCAGATGATTGCAATGCAGCGTCGTGTTTAAGAACGTGGATGCGGGGGCACGTGGGTGACTCAGATGGTTAGGCGGCCAGCTCGGGTCAGGTCATGATCTCGCGGTCCGTGGGTTCAAACCCTGTGTCGTACTCTGTGCTGACAGTTTGGAGCCTGAGCCTGCTTCGGATTCTGTGTCTCCCTCTCTCTCTGCCCCGTCACCACTTGTGCCCATTCTCTCTCTGTCCTCCAAATTAAAAATTTTTTAAAAAAATAATAAAAAACAGGGATGTGGATGGGGCGCTGGGGCGGCTCAGTCCGATGAGTGTCGGTCTCTAGTTTCAGCTTAGGTCACGTCCCAGGGGGGCGAGCTCGAGCCCCAGTGTCTGGCTCCGCACCAGGCATGGAGTCTGCTTGGGACTCTCTTTCTCTCTCACCCCGCTCTTGACCCTGCTTGCTCCCGTGCTCACTTTCTCTCTTTCTATTTAAAAACAACAAACTAAAAGGAGGGTGTGGAAAGCAGAAGGCCTATATCCTCCACCCGCATCCAAGCTGAGTGACCCTGCGCAAGTGACGTTACCCTCTGTGTGCATTGCTGTCCTCGTCGGTCAGGGTCTCCCGGGGCGGTGGCGGCGATACGGAACCTCCAGCACGAGAGGAAGACTAGGAGGGGACCCGCCGGCCCGTCCGCAGGCTGGGCTCTGGGCTAACGACGAATGTGCAGTTAAAGGAGTCGTTGACCTTCAGGGACGTGTCTGTAGATTTCACCCTGGAGGAGTGGCGATATCTGGACTCGGCTCAGAAGACCCTGTACAGGGACATCATGCTGGAGAACTGCAGCCACCTGGTCTCCGTGGGTGAGGGATCGCGCCCCAGTGTGACCGGACCCCACGCACGCGAGTACCCTCAGCTGGTACCTGCTCAGGGGCGCGGGAGGCCCCGGACAAGTTCCGACCTAAGGCTCACGGTCGGGAAGTCAGAGCCCCGTTTGCAGCCCACGCGGGCCACCAGCTGTCGCCCAGTCTGTGCTGCAGCACGCTGAGGGGCACAGCTGTCCCCTGGGGCGGGCACCCAGGCCGGACCGCCTTTGATTAGCAGGGCTCCGTCTCGGTGCTGGAACCCACGGGGCATCAGTAACCGAGTCCTGTGTCGTGTCCCCTCCTCGGGACACCTGGTAGCCAAGCCCGATGCGGTCAGCAGATGGGGACGAGGGGAAGAGGCCAGGACGGCAGAGGGAGAGACGCCACGCGGCACCTTCCGGGGGAGCAGGCGCTGGACCAGTCAGGCCAGGGGCGCTGGTGGGTCAGTGAGAGCCTGGCGTCAGGGGCCCGGCGGGAGCCTTGTCCAAGCCCCTAGACCCGGGGACGCAACGTGGGTTCAGTGAGACGAGCTGCTGTACCATCCACGTGACATCCCCTGGGTAGCCAAGGCAGGACCCAGCCTCCCCCTTCCGCTCCCCCTGCTTCTGGAAGCTTGCAGGACGCGTCCTCTGTCTCGGGCATGTGCGTGTTGCTCAGAGGAGGTGCAGGCGGGGCGCAATGGCTCTTCTTTCTCTCCTGCATGTGGGCCCTTCACACTGACACCCAGAGTCTCCTTCGGCCTCGGGGGATGACCCTGCCTGCTCACGTGGAGGTGGCGTGGACCCAGAGCTTTGCCAGTGACCGTCAGCTCGGCCAGGCAGGCGGCCACCGTGGCCGTGTCTGCGCGCATGTTGTGCAGACAGTGTCGGCCTTCACAGGACCGTGTCCTCCCTGCTCAGGTCCTCGGTCTCTCCAGCCCTGACGCGACCCCGCCTGTCCTCAGGTTGCTGCTCGTGTCAGTGCTTGCCTCCCCCTCACCTGTGTCCTGTGTCGTCTCTTTATTCACTGAGGACACAGGAGAACCCGAGGGGACGTTTCCCCGGGCGGCTCGCTCCAGGGCGCGCTGGCCTCTCCCTTGTTGTTTGCGGGGTGGTTTCGGGTGCTTTCGCTCTGGGCCCCTGGTGGGACCCGCACACTCTTCAGACGCCGCTCTTCCTCTGTGTCTTGCCCCACGCTCGGCAGACACCCCTGCACCCATTTGTGGGGCGTCCGTGCGGATGCGGGGCTCCCCCACATGCTCTGGGTACCGGCAGCCGGGCTCGAGGCAGACGGTCACGCCCTGGGGTCCCCCTCAGGTTCACGGGTGAGATCTGCTTTGCCGCGGCTGCGTGGAGCCCGGGGGCAGAGCCCTGGCCGTACTGGCCGCTGGCCCGGCCAAGCCCTCATGTCCCCTGATGGCTTCTCCCGGGCCCGTGACCACTGGGCTGCGCAACGACTCTCTCGGGGCCTCTCTGGTACTTTCTCCGTGGACGCCATGTGTACGTGGAACAGGGGGGAGCTCTGCTGCTGTGGTTGCACATCGTCAGCCAACCCTTTACCACCTCGTCCGGTGGGGGTGGCTTGCCCTCTGCCTGGTCGGACCCCTGGGAGACGCCTGCACCTCGTCTGTCCAGGTGTGAGGCTGCGGAACATTCGGTGAATCTTTTTCATTTCGGACGAGGGCCGAGGAGGGGTTCGGGGTTCACCAACAGCCCAGTGGTTAGGAGCTTGGGCTCTGAGCTCACGGCCGGGGCTCCGATGCCGGCCTGTTCTGTCCCTGGCTGGCCATGCGCACACTGGCCCCGTCCCTTTGCCTGTGTGTGCAGGTGGCTACTGCTGGAACTTGCGGGATCACCCGCGTTTAATGAGTAATGGACGTGAGCCTGGCCCCCGGAAGCTCTCAGTTAAATGTCACTGTTGTTACTGGTGTGGACGCAAAATAGCTCTTATTAGGGTCATTGTTAACCAGAGGTGTGTCACGGTGGCCTGGAGACCTCAGGGCACCCCACGGGGTGGCCCCGCCTGTGGTGGTGTTTTCAGAACGCCCGGGGCAGGACTGGGTTGTGCGTTTTGAGCGACACTCGGTAGTTCTGACTCTGAGTCTAGTTCAGATCCAGATTGTAACCATCCCCTGAGGGGTTCAGGGCCGTGGGGAGCACAGAGCTCAGTGTGGCCTCCCCCCAGCCTGGGTTCAGGGGGGATGGGCAGGCGGGAGGGTGCAGACTCCCTGCCTGGCAGCTTGCCTCCCTTCCCTCACTGCTCCAGACCTCGGGCTGCCTGGGGACTGCATGTTCCCTGGACCCGGGTGGAAATTTCGCGCAGCTCCCGTGAATCCTCTGCTTGTGCTGAACTATTTGAAATTTTGTAGGAACGGCTGGTCTCAGGAGTGGCCTCATGGTAGTAATCACAGCTGTCCGAGCCCGGGCGGTGGCCTGCAGTCTCAAGTTCATTGAAGGTTCTTGAGCTTTTCCCAGAAAGGTCTGTGCCTTTCTTCATTTCCCCTGTCTTTGTTTTCTGGGGTTTTTTTCCTTCTCCTTTTACCTCTGTTTCCTTTTTTCTACTTACTTTGGGTCTACTTGGCTGCTCTTTTCTAGCTTTCTTCCCGACAGGATTATGAACATTTTCACACCAAACAAGTGAAAGAATCGTAGTTTGAGCACCCATAGGATTCCACCTAGGTTCTTCAGCGAACAGTTTGCTCTGTTTGCTTTTCTATCTTCTGTGTCCTGATTCCTCTGTCCTCCCCCTTTATTTTGTGACGTGTTTCCTTGTAAGTTTCAGAGATAGTACATTTCACGCCTGAATACTTCCGCAGGCATATCCTTAACTATGTGTGTCCTTAATGCTTAATAGGCATTTTAATAAAAAAGAAATTCCTAAGTAGCACCATATGGGATTTGATTGTACGTGGTAATGTTTAATCCCCATATCTATTTCGTGTATTTTCATTATATATTTATGCTGAGATGACCATTCTTCTTTTAAGTTATATTTATTGAGGTATAATTTATATACCGCACGTTCACCTTTCTTAGGTGTACAGTTCTGTACATTTGACAGAGATTAAGTCACGGAACCAAGATCCTGGACCTTTTCATTCCTCTAAAGCCTCTCCTTGTGCTTCTATATAATTAAAGGTCTTCCTCACTCCCAAATCTGGGATTTGGAAATGGATTCTTCTCATTTCTATTCTTCTAGTTTTCTTCTGTCTAGAATGTCATTTAAATGGATCTTATAGTATCCTGATTTATGGGTCTTGCTTCTTTCACTTAATGCTTTTCAGGGTCATCCATGTTTGACGTGTATGAGCGTCTTATCCTTTTTGAAGTTGAATAATGTTATATTTGCTTATCTTGTGAGCAGTTTGTGTGCATTGGATTCTTTCTTAATTTGGGGGCATTGTGAAAGGAGCTGGTATGAACATTCACGTCCAGGTGTTTGCATGGACACGTTTTCATATCCTTGGGTAAATACCTGGAGTGGTATTGCTTGGTCATATAGTAAATGTATGTTTAGCTTCCAAGATATTACCACGCAGTTTTCCGGCATGGCTGTAGCATTTTCATTGACCAGCACCAGCGTGAGAATTCTGGGTGTTTTGTATCCTTGTCTGCACTTGGTATTCTGAGTATTATTAGTTGTTCTTTTTCATAGATGTGTGGGAGTACCTTACTGTGATTTGAACCTGCATTTCTTCAATAACGAACGGTTCATGTCTTCTCACGCATTTATTTGCCATCCAGACATCGTGGGCGAACTGTCTATGGTGATGTTTTGCCATTTTTGTTCCTATTAAATGGTAAGAGTTTTCTGTGCATTCTAGATGCAAGTCCTTTACCAGCTACATGCTCTTTATGTATTTACTCTCAGGTTGTGGCTTGTTAGTGTCTTTCAAAAAAGGACATTCTTAATTTTGATAACATCCCGTTTCTCAAACTTGTCTTTTATGGTTCATGCCCTTTGTGCCCCATTAATTCTGTCTAATCCATGGTAACACAGATTTTCTCATATGATTTCCTTTGGAAGATTGCCGGAGACCGAAACTGCGCAGGTCATCCCTGATGGCAAGGCCCAGGGAAAAACCTGTAGGAAAAGACTGCAAGGCAGCAGTCAGAAGAACCCCCCAAAGAATTCTTCTTCTCTGCTCAGTCTGTGCCTTTTACTCTCACTTCTGCTGTTAGGCTATTCTAGGGTGAATATGAAACCAGAATCGCCCAAAGTTCCCCCCTTCCTCCAAAATGGAATGTACCTAAATATCATGTCCTCCCCCTCAATCAGATGTTTCTAATGAATATTGTAGCAGTTAGCAAAAATGGAGACAGTCCGGTATGCATGGGGTCTATAAGAGACCTAGAATTCATTCTCCTTGTATGGGTCCGATTGCCAGTAAGAATACATATTATGCCATAGAGACAAAAACAAGACTTAGTAGTTGTGGAGGACTTTCTCGGAAAAGTGTTAGAGACATATTGTCTGCTGACCTCAAGCCTGTGTTAGAGACCTATTGCCTGCTGACCTCAAGCCTGTGAGGCAACTTATGGATTGTTCTGGCCAAAGAATGAGATCGGTAAATGCAGAGACCAAATTCTAGTTGATCCACATAAAACATTTCCATACGTCATCTATGATAAATGTTGACAGTGTTCTTTCTTAGTAAGGGGTTGTGAGGGTCTATTACCTACAACCGTGGGTACGAGTATATCCTGTTTTTGCATGCCCACTTAATGTAAACAATTAAAGGGCACTGTGTTCTCATGTATGCTGGCAATATGCTCCACTTATCCTTAGATACCCTGCCATACGTAGTAAAGAATATGTACAACTTTGTTCTGACTACCTGGTTAAATTTTATTGGTTGAAGTGGAAACCATGTACCGTGAAATCACTGTTGCCAAGAAAACTTAGAAATGTTAAGTCCCATGACTGTATTCAAAAATGTAAATTGTTTAAGCATGATTGTTTGGATTTGCTATATAAAAACCCTAAGCTGAAAAATAAATTTGAGCAGTCCACCTGAAGAGGCTGGCTCTGTGTCTTCTTCGCCGACTCCAACCCTCACTCTCCGGGTCCACCTGGCTTGCAGAGGCTGCACCCCTGCAGAAGATTTATAATTTTAGCTCTTACTTTTAGGCCAATGGACATAATGAGATAAGTTTTTTTTTTTTTAACCTGGTGTGAGGTAAGGATCAATGTTCTTTTTTTCTGCACGTGCATATTCAATTGTCCAGCAGCATTTTTGAAAAGACTGTATTTTCTCCATCAATCGACCTTGGGCCCTTGTGACTTTGTGACCTTACGTCACTCTCTTAATTACCATAGCCTGATATTAAGTGTTCACATCAGGTAGTATGAATCTTCCAACTTTGTTCTTCCTTTTCATAATGTTTTGGCTCTTCTAGGTCCTCCATATTTTCATCTAAATTTTAGAATCACCTTACCAGTTTCTGCATAATAGCTTGCAGGGATTTTGTTTTGGGGTGCCTTGCATCTGTGGATCATTAAAATACTAACAATATTGACTCTCCCAATTCCTGAACGTGATATATCTCTCTATTTAGGTCTCTTAATATCCATTTCAGCAACATTGTAGTTTCGAATGCACCGGTCTTGCATGGGAAGTGCAATTGCAATTTAAATATTCTATTTTAAACATTTACTTTTTGTCAATATCTTCTTATTTTTTTTTAATTTAGTAGTTGCTCTAGGGATTAAGATATACATAGTTAATGTTTTACGTGGACATTTCACGTAATACGTGGAAGCTTTGTTAGAGGTCCTTTTACCTTATTTTATGTTATAATTTTCAAATGTATTATATTTACGTATATTTTCACCCTCCCCCAGACAGTGTTATAATTTTTGCTGTCAACTACGATGCATATCTTAATTCAAAAGGAGAAAAATAACCTGTTATATTTACCCAGATAGTTTACCATTTGTGCTTCTCTTTATTCCTGAAGTTCTGTGCTTCCCTCGGATACTATTTCCCTTCGCTCTGAAGATTCCATATCATTTCTCTTAGAGCAAGCCTACTGGTGACAGTATCTCTTAGTTTTCCTTCTGTGAGTTTTTAAATTTCATCTTTATTCCTTTTTTTTAAGTTTATTTAAAAAAATTTTTAATGTTTTATTTATTTCTGAGAGAGAGACAGCGTGAACAGAGGAGGGTCAGAGAGAGAGGGAGACACAGAATGTGAAGCACACTCCAGGCTCTGAAGTGTCAGCACAGAGCCCGACGCGGGGCTCGAACCCATAAACCATGAGATCATGACCTGAGCCGAAGTCGGACGCTTAACCGACTGAGCCACCCAGGCACCCCTAATGCTTATTATTTTGGAGAGAGGGTGTGCGCACACACACACACGTGCACATGGGGGACAGGCAGAGAGAAAAAGAGAGAATCCCAAGTAGGCTCCACGCTGTCAGTGCAGAGCTTGACGCGGGGCTTGATCTCATGAACAGTGAGATCATGACCTGAGCTGAAATCAAGAGTTGGACACTTAACCAACTAACCCACCCAGGCACCGCACTGCCTGTTATTTCTTAAACAACTAGAAAAATTGCTCCCTTAAACAGAATGAGAGATGAGTCAACAGGATCCCTGAAATAAAGGGGCTCAGAGATCTTACACGTTACTCATCATCTTCAGTGTAAAAATGCAAATCTCTTACAGAAAAGGCACACCTTGCTTAGAAACAGTGCTTAGAATTTAACATTCTTTGTCTTTTAAGAAAGAATAATCACTTTGGGGCACCTGGATGGCTCAGTCGGTTAAGCGTCCGACTTCAGCTCAGGTCATGACATCACGGTCTGTGGGTTCAAGCCCCGCATCGGGCTCTGTGCTGACAGCTCGGAGCCTGGAGCCTGCTTCAGATTCTGTCTCCCTCTCTCTCTGCTCCTCCCCTTCCTGCAGTCTCTTTCTGTCTCTCAAAATTGAATAAATGTCAAAAAAGAATTTAAGAAACAGTAATCTCTCTATGGTGAGGTAATAAAAGATTTTTAATTTTCAGAGTATCTCCTATAACAGCAGTATTTATTTATTTATTTATTTTTATTATAGTTTACTGTCAAGTTGGTTTTCATAACAGCAATATTATTTAAGTTGCAAAACAAGTCAGAAATTGAATATCCCATAATAGGCAAGTGATTAAAATTTGATATGTCATGTAGGTAGAATAATATGGACCAGTTAAGAATTATCTTTTCTTGGGGTGCCTGGCTGGCACATTTGGAGGAGCGTGTGACTCTTGATCTTAGGGTTGGGAGTTTGAGCCCCACATTGGGCATAGAGATTACTTAATTAAAAAAATTTAAGAGGCTCCCGGGTGGCTCAGTTGGTTAAACCTCTAACCTTGGCTCAGATCATGCTCTCAAGTTTCATGAGTTAAGACCCCGCGTTGGGCTCTGTGCTGACAGCTCGGAGCCTGGAGCCTGCTTCCGGTTCTGTGTCTCCCTCTCTCTCTGCCCTTCCCCTACTCCTGCTCTCTCTCTCTCAAAAATAAGTAAATGTTTTTAAATTAAAATTTAAAAAGTGATCCTACATTTGAGGATTTGGGGAGATGTTCGTGGTAATCTATTAAAAAAATTATAATAAACTATACCACATGATTTACATTGTAAAAAAAATACATAGAGGACAGATAGGCACTATTGTATCGGCAACTCTGGGTGGTAGAACTACAGCAATTTTATGCTAAGTAAAATTATATGCACATATGTACATATATATTTGTATTTATATCTGTTTAGGTGTGTGTAACTAGGTAGGTAGACACATAGGACAAAAAGCTAGGAATAAAATACACCACCAGATTATCAAGCAAACTATCATTTGGATGTTGGGATAATCGACTTTTAAATGTTTTGAATGTAGTCTCCAGAAACTACCAATAAAATAAGTTGATTAAAGTCATCCTGTGCACACTTGCTTCTGTCTTCCCATCCATTTTCCCATTTGGCTTTGTCTTTGGTTTTGAGAATATATTTTGCATGTTGAGAATGGGTATCCCGTGTTTTTAATATCTGTATGTGATTTTTATTTTTTAAAATGTATATTTATTTTTGAGAGAGAGACAGAGTATGAGTGGGGGAGGGGCAGAGTGAGAGGGAGACAAAACCCGAAGCAGGCTCCAGGCTCCGAGCTGTCAGCACAGAGCCCGACACGGGGCTCGAACCCACTGTGACATCATGACCTGAGCTGAAGTCAGATGCTTAACTGAGCCACCCAGGTGCCCTTTATGTGATTTTTAAAAAACTAAAAATAAAAGTACTGCTATAGTTCACCAAATCCCGTGACATAAATTACCAGCTAATAGATTTGTGGATGTGCAGAGATGTAGTGAATGGTCAGAAGTACCACAAGTGATGAGATGAAATTGATGTCTGACACCAAATGTAAAGCTCTTTTCACTGTGACATCTGTGAATGCAGCTGAATACTCGTCTTCCCTCACCTTGTCCTATTAGTAGCAGTTGAATCAGGCACATCCCAGGTGACCCCAGTGAATTGTGCCCTAGGTAACCCTCCCCCTCGTGTGTGGGCAGAACTGAGACCTGCTTCTAGACACTAGATTATGGCAAAAGTGACGTGATGTCGCTCGTGCTAGTATGTCATATTAAGACTGCCATTTTTTTTTAATGTTTTCTTTATTTCTGAGAGAGGGAGAGAGAGAGAGAGACAGCGTGAGCAGGGGAGGGTCAGAGAGAGAGGGAGACACAGAATCCGAAACAGCCTCCAGGCTCTGAGCTGGCTGTCAGCACAGAGCCTGACACGGGGCTCGAACCCACGAACCGTGAGATCATGACCTGAGCTGAGGTCAGACGCCCAACTGACTGAGCCCCCAGGCGCCCAAGACTGCTTTCTTTGCAGACTGGAGAGAACCTTTCCTTGCTGGTCTGATGAAGTAGGCAGCCATGTTGAAAACGCTCATGTGCCAAACAACTGCAGCTGGCCTTTAGGACCTGAGGGCACCCTGAGCCAAGACAGTAGGACTTGAGTGGCAAAATCTTGGAGACCAGAGAAGTGACGAGAAACCCAATAGACTGAACTTTTCCCCACAAGGGACTCTCTGGTAAATGGCATGAGGCAAATTCAGAGATGCGTAACAGCCAAGTGCCTAAG